TTTTTCTATTTTGCATGTTTAACTGCCATGTTTGATAAATGTCGAAACCTCCCACCCAATTTCGAAGCCACCCAGATGAATGGCGAAGCCTCCCGGAAAATGGGAGGTTTCGTCGCATATTTTGTTCCTAATTATTTGATTAGAACTTTGAAATAAAATTAAGTAGTACATTAATGACCAATCGGAAGTGTCACAAACATGCTTGACATCAGTAATTGTGAAAGGAGATATTTGTTTCTTATTCTAGTTTCTCTAAAAAAAAAACATTTTATCTTAACCTGTGGAAGCCTCCCCCTTCTACCCTACTGTACAGTGATGTGCTGAGTCGGCACTTTTAAGTATTGATCGATACTCGGTACCGACTTTAAAAGTATCCAATACTTTCGATACTCGGTACCGAAATATTGAAATTTCTAATAAGAGTCCGCAATACCCACAAATATGGAATAAAAGCTGTTTAGTGATCGTTGAAGTCATTAATCTATGGTTAAAGAAGTATATTTCTCCACATTATTTGGATTTGAACGTTACTGGATTAATATGTGCTCCTGCGTCAACCACAATGCAAATCGTAATAATATTACCAATTAACAATGTTTCCACAATAACTGTTGCAGATGGTAAGACAGTGGGGATTAAGTACAAGAAGGCTGATGTCATATAAAATAGCCAATTACTTTTATATGGAGGAAAATGCCTAGGACCGTCAGCAAAAAAAAAAGTTATTAAAAATCGACTCAATTTTCTAGCGTTTTAAAATTAGCAGTTTAAAACTACTAAAATTTAATAAGTATAAGGCAACAAATGGCAGAAAATATATTTCCAATGGCGACCGCCTATTTCTCATGCTCTGCAATATATGTCAGCGCTTATTGCTTGACATCTATTGCAGGCAATTCGATAGTTTGACAGCCATATTTTCATTTGAAAGAAAGCGTGCTGGTGGTAACATCGATGAAATTTTGATATTAAACCAAAATAAAAATGTGTTTCCATTGGATTATTTATGATTACGTTTTAGGAAATTATTCAGCAAGTTTTTAAAGATTTAAATGTTTTTAGACACCGAAATTGAGAGAATGTTTTCTGGTGGCGTCATGCGGCAAATGCTTATTTCAAGACATCAAAGTGCCCACAAAAACTTGCAATCATATTGCTCGTCAAAATGACAGTTGGCAGGCCATCGGTGTTTGCCTGTGGAGTTCTGCGGTAAAACTGTACACCTAAAAATTTTCTAAAAATGTTTGTAGAAACTTTTAATAAAAAGTTTGAAATTTGTAGGTGTAATTGTTAAAGTTTGTTGAATTTTTATGATTTTTGTAAAAAGCTTGAAATTTGGATTAATATGCTGCTGGTTATGTAATTTGCTAGACTTTTTTAAAAAAGAGTATAAGCATTAAATAAACAAAAGAAAAAATAGCAAAACTAATCCAAATGTTACTAAACTTAATCAGCTGACAAGTGTATATATTATGACGAAGGTTAAATGTATCGAATCGGTATCGGGTACCGAAAAGAAATTATTGCGTACCGACATTTTCTTCAAGTATTGGGTACCGACAATTCAGCACATCACTACTACTGTTAAGTGGCTCATGTCTCTAATCCTTGTCGAATCCATGTCTAATATTTTGTACTTACTTTAGCAGTCCTTACTGCTTACTTTAGTAAGTAATGGAAGTTGATTAGACAAGGATTTAAAACAAGAGCCACTTAACAGTAGTAACAGTTTTTGTTTTTTGAATTTTGAATTGTGTCGTTATTGCACAGGACCATCGATATGTATTGTTTTAATACTTCCTCATTTACATACCGTGGTGGTCATATCATTTGCAACCTTATTCAAAAGAATATTGCTTACCATTTAGTTATTTATTTTTAAAAATTTTCAATTAGAATACAGTTCATTCTCTAACAAAACCCATACACATAAACCAAAGATTAAAACTTTACAGAAAACTAAACAAAATATACAAATTTTCATAAGGATTTCAAACTATTTTGCCACAAGTGTTAGAAGTTTTTGGGTGTGCAGTTTTATAGTCCTTACCATTTTTAACCGACTTCCAAAAAAGGAGGAGGTTATCAGTTCG